CCATCAAACTGTTTAACTCCTCACTGGAGGGGAGAGGGAGGAGAAACAGGGGGACAAGGGAGGGCGGGAACAGCTGAGCTGTAGGTGCTTTTCTACACTGTGCAATATTTGCAATATTTGTTTTTGTTTTGTCTTTTTTCTTATATTCGACTGTGCAATAATCACTGTGCAATATACTCACTCAAATGAGCAATCCTATTTATCCATATTGTATATTCTGTATCTATATATGTGTATATGTGTATATATGGTGTATTTATGCTTATATCCTTACTCTCATTCCCCTTAATGTATCTGTAACATGCAACTTCTTTTGGTGCTATGCTACTGGAAACTGAATTTCCCGGAGGAACCCACCTGAGGGATTAATAGTTTCATCTAATCTCTATCTCTAATCTTAAGTCTGTGGGTGACTGACATTTTTTTAATTAACTTTACTGCTATGTCTGGTTTTTGCTATTTTATTACTATATTTATATTTGTATTGTACAACACTTTAGTCTACCAGGTGTGATTTTAAAGTGCTATATAAATAAATGATGATGACGACTATTAGAGAGGACTGTAATCAAAAGGCTTAAATTATCATAAACAAATTATATTACCCACTATATAGTACCCACTTGTTAAATAATTATGGTGCCTATTGTCCTCGCTAAAACGGGACATTTTATGAAACAAACGGACACCAGTTTGCTCCAATAAAACTCTTCAAAAATTTATTTACAGTACAAAAATGAAAACTTACTATGAACTTCTATGAATGGGCAAAAATAAGAATGGTGCATACAGATTCCAGTAGTGCAAGGGAACACAACAGCGTTAATAATTTTTCCTGCACTACAAGCAAAGACAAAAAAAGGAAAAGGAAATATCCTTACATCTTATACTGCAATGTTTACTCTGACAATAAAAATGCTTTTTAAACATGAATCTAGAGTTCACATTCCAATAATGTAAAGTACACTGACACATATAGCATGGACATAGATGATTAGCTATGCTTTGCACTCAGTGCTGTGGCGCAAAAAATATAGAATATATAACTATAGATTGGTGAGATATCTTTATCTGTCACTGAGCACATCTTAATGTAATGCGAGCAATGTGAGATGTAAGATCCGTCACGTATCACATAGACATTATACAACCTGAGAAAAAGTCTTCTTTGAGACAGCTGTGGCAGGTTCAAGCAAGAGATCAGTAATTACACAATATACACCAACAAATCCTGTTCCATTATTTCAATCAGTTCCTGCATTTACCAGTTCAAACTTATTGCTCCATTCCCTGCAGAAACAGTTCTTTTTCTGTTGTTGTTGTTGTTTTTGATGATTATATTATCTAACCTGAATGAACTTCGGCAATCAAGTACGTTGGAACGATTTACTCATCAAGGCCCTCGTCTTCCTCTTCCTGCTTGGCGTCCACCTCGGTTGTGTCCGAGAACTCGTGAAGCAGCACGTATTCACGGCTGCTGAAGCCAAACTTTAGGACATCTTTTTCTTTGAGTTCATAGTACCGCTGGGGCTCGATACGCTGGTTGTTCAGATAAGTGCCATTGCCAGAGCCAAGGTCAATAATGTAAGGCTTTACCCTCCGGCCCGTGGTGCCATCCGCCCGCGTAAACTCCACCAGTCTGCAGAAATGAAGACAGAATGGTGGACATGATCTATTTGTAAATGGGGTTCACGACTAAAGAGTCATTCAACATATTGGACAACAACAATAGTAAATAGTAATCACCACAGATTGAGCACGCTTTTCAATCAAAAAGAAAACTAGAGTGAAAAAAATAAATAAAAATGTGCTGATGACTGTTCTTCCTACCTGTACTGGAATACTGCATGTTGCTTGGAGCAGGATGGGTGATCAATCGGGATATCAGCAATTCTTCTCTGTCGCCCCAACAAATAGGCACTCTGTCTGTGAATGTACATGACTGGAAGAGCCTCATCATTCTTGAAAGGGTACAGTCGCCATCGGCGCTTCGGAATCCGAGCCTCAGGCGGCTCGTTGTACTTGATCACCACTCCCCGAAATGTGTTTGTGTCTTCTGTGAGTGCCCCTGAAAGTTCGAAGTTTGGCTTCTCTTTCACAGCAGGAGCAGCGCCTGCCTCATCACCCTCTTCTTCTGACCTCCCCAAGTCTCGCTCTTGGTTTTCTTCACGTCGCTGGCGATTTTCCCTGCGTCTCTCATCTTGCTGCTGTCGTTCAGCTTGTTGAGAGGCAAGAGCATTTCGCTCCCTATGCCTCTCCCCACCGCGCTCTCTCTCCCGTGGCCTATCAGATTCCCACCTACTCCGTCTGTCCTCTGGTTGCTCATTTCTTCTTCTTCTCTCGTCGCCGCTAGCTCTATGCTCATCCCGTTCCTGTGACATATATTTAGAGAATACTTACACAGTTACATTTTTGAGTAGTTAATTATATTGTACTGTATTACCCTTCAGTATGGAATAGTGGGCTCTAGTTTGTTTGACATATATTGTCATTACTGCCAGATGCCTCTGAAAAACATTAAAAATGGGACAACTGTAGCCCAATGTTGGGTCTCTACACAGAAAACAGACTACCTCAGACTGTTAGTACTATCTGACTAGCACTTGGGTTACACAAGCTTCTGTGTGGTAAATTCCAGATGAGTACTTTATACCACCT